AATTACCATATCCGAGTAAGATTGATGTCATCGAAGCCAAAACAGAGCAAGCTAAAGCAAACTTGTTTCTCGTAGGCTTCTTTTGGATGGCCAAATCGGGAAGGTGCAAGTTGGATTGGCTGGAAGATCCATTTCTTTCAGGGTTTTGGTCGGCCATAAGGAATGGATTTGGGTCTGCAATAGTAAAGGAGGTTGAGGTTAATTTGGGTGAGTTTAAATGCTGCTTTGCTTTGCCTGTTGAGAGCATATATGGTGTTAATTCCTATATTTTCGGGTGATAAGAGACCAAGAATGAGATTTTTGGATATCATATGTACCAATATATACACACACAATAGTTAGCAGAAAAGGGTAATTACCCAAAAGGTCCTCATCGCTTGTAATCATTAAGAAAATCGTCTTTATCGTTTCAATTTTGACATATACACCCTTATTTCAACATTTTCTTGCGAACTTGGTCCCTTTTGTCCATTTGGTTAATTTGTTCCATCAAATATTAGGAGAGATGCAAAACATCCCTATCGTTTGCCTTAATTACACAAATCGTTCATATCATTTCAATTTTGACATTTGGATCTTCAAATCAACATTTCTTTACGTAAAAGGTTCTTATAGTTTATTTTCTTCATTAAAATATTGTAAAAGACAAATTTACCTTCTCTTTTAAATAAAAAAATACAGAAGAAAGAAAGAAAGAATATAAATTCTAAATTTTTTTAAATAGTCAAACGAGTTCCATTTTAAAATAATTTAAAACATATTTAAAAAATTCATCTTAAAAAAATAAGATTTCTTTTTCTCTTAGCTGACTTTAAATTAGAATAGTTAGGATTGTAATTTGGATTAAAATTTAAAATGAACACTCTAATTAAAGAATAAATAAAACCAGCTTCAAATATCATTTCGTGAGAATGGGTGGTGGCGGTGGCCGATCATAGGGTGTGGTATTGAATGGGGAAGAAGAAGAATTTTTTTTTAATTTTTTTCTTTTTTTTTTATACTTTCAATTCTCTTTTTAATTATTTTTCAGGTGTTGGTGGAGGGTAGGGGTAGTGAGGTTAATTGAGAAGATAAAATATTTTTCTTTTGTTATAATGTTTTAAATTGTTTTATATGAAAGTCGTTTATACTTTTTAAAAAACATAGAAATCCGACTGCAATTTTGTTATATTCTTTCTTTCTTTTCTATTTCTTCATTTAAAGAGGAGAGTAAATCAGTCATTTTACAATGTTTTAGTAGAATGCGGACCTGCTGTTTGTGATGCTACCAATCGACAAGATGGGTGGACGGTGGTGATTCAGGAGCTATGCGCTGGTGCCAACAGCCAAAGTAAGCTCAACAGTTGCCAACTACAGCTTAGTGAATCACAAACCTAAAATCTTCACTTCCATCTTCTCCGTAAGTTTCTCTCTCCCTCTATCTATACTTCCTGGATTTTGTTTTGAATTTTGTCGATATGTATTGAATTATATTTTCGGCTATTACGATCGTGGATTGTCAACAGTCATCGGTCACTGGTCAACAGTCAACGATCTCTGCCATAGCTGAACTACAATGCTGGATTCGCCCCTGGTGCCAAGTCCCCACTTCTATAACATTGTAATAGCAACTAACTTCTCGACTTGCTAGTGTCGTGTTTCATTAGGAGAAATAGAAGTTATAAATTCTGTTTATCATATCGTCAATTTCAATATGTGTAACATGCAGTACAAGTACAAATAAATAAGTGATTTGCTCCATGATCAGTACTCTTTGCTCCTTTGCTTAACTTTGTTATGGTGCTAATTCGATTCAAAGACCGTCAACTATTAAAAAAGACGAAGTAGAATGCACTTTCTTTACAAACTCCTATACAAACTTAAGCTTGTAGTCTATACTATTGTAATTGAATTGAAGTTCCATTTTGCTAGGATTTATTGATATTTGAAAGTGTGCTATTGTTTAATCATCTCTTATTAATCAGTGATACTGTTTTACTAATAACAGCTGTAAATGAAGAATAGTTCTTTTTTATATACTAGTCTTTCGCACGGGCTTAGTTATTTTGAAGGTATTGTTAGCGTGTTAAATGTGTCGGATTATCCTGAAGTACATTCCATCTTGTACATTTGGAAAAGAAATAAATAAATAACTCTAGCATAAAAGTCCTTACAATGAACTAAGGAAGAGAAAGATCAGAAGCAAAACTTCATCTTCTATGCCCTACATCAGATGAGAATAGCTGGAGTCTCCAATGTATCCTACATACATCATAGAGAATTTAAGTGTATAGATAGAATATTGCATTTGTGTAAATGGACAAAGTAACACCACATAATGTTTTGTATACCATGCTTGAGAATTTAAGTGTATAGATAGAATATTGCATTTGTGTAAATGGACAAAATAACACCACGTAATGTTTTGTATACCATGCTTTTGCATCATTAAGAGAAACTTAATAATGAATTTGGAGGATGGTTGAATCATGACC